TGTACCAGTCGCCATCTTTTTTTCCCACAGAGGATTGATGACTGATTTTTTTAACTCTTTGTAGTTACAAAGTACATCTGGTGATTGTTGGACCTACTAGAAATTGGAAGGAAATCTGCTGTTATGGTAAGTTTACAAGCTTAGTTTTATTTTCTATAATATACTGAAATTCCACTTTAAGGCCTAACATTATTAATGACAAAAGAACAAAGTGCTGATAATTTGTAATTTTTCCTTTTGAATTCCAATCTCTTAGTTGTCGAACAAGGGAAAGTCCATCAATTACAAACTATTTTCATTTGTACTTATAGCGATGGTTTATCAAATCTGAATTCAAATTTTTGTTGCTTAATTCAAGTTAGAAGCCCAATCATGACTGAAGATCATATGCTGCTTTGATATCTGTATCCATACAGTGAGCGTTCAATGCCGAACATTGCGTGAGGAAAATCACACATTCCTGCCTGTGCAACATATATCAGTGTCATCTGTTCTGCCTTTTCCAAAAAAAACTGTTAGGAAATTTAATATTTTAATTTGGTATGTCAAATGTTTTACATGTGACTCGGTTGTTTCAAAGATTTTGTCTCTGAGCTTAGGTTTAATTTTGGTTGAGTTTTCAGGTTAAACAAAATCTAGAACTTTCCAACGATTCATGTATTTTTTTTTCAAGTATTTTGTTTGCAAATTCTTGAAATTAAGTTTTGCAGATTTTTGACTTTTTTTTTAACAACAAAAAACTGAACTCCAAGATGGCTGACGCAGATCAGTGGACATTTTGTTTTTATGTCACGTAGCACGAAACACGTCATACTTAAAAGTTATCGTCCCTATAAACAAATAGTTTTGAAAACTTTGCTTCGTCACAGCAGTTGTATGCTTTTCGGAATCCAGGCTGGGCCACTTTTCCGATCGGGAATTTAATTAATTTTTCACATTTTCCTGTGTGTTTCATTGCATGCATATTTACTGCAGTTGAATTGTATTGGGGTTTTCATTATCTCTTAACTCTTCAATTCATGCAGTTCGTTTTCTTCGGAGATCTATAAAGGTTCTAGCAAGTACATATTCAGGCCTGAAAGTCAATGAAAGTTAGAATTTTCAAAAACGTGCGTATTTTGGGGAGGCTCCCATTTTTCTTCGACTTTCAGAGTAGAAATTTGTAGGTTAATGGAAGTATTTCTGGCCCAATTCACCTCATCGTGTTTATCTAGGTACAATGTTTGTGTATGCTTTGCAAGGGCAATTTTTCTACCTCACAGGCTGATTAAGGAAAAGTTCTACTGTTGTGAAAAGTACGAGGTCCGCGTATTACTAGCGCGTTGCGTAGATGTTTTCGTGGAGGATCTGTTTATGTATATGTACGTCGTTTCTTTTCGTTTCGTTTCAAAGCAAAGGAAAACTTCCAACGCTGTTGGGATGTCTTCTTTCGGAAATTTTGATTACAAGCAAGGGAGCTTCGGCCCTCGGTATGTTTTAATACATTTCGAAAGTTTACTAGGAGTTTAAACAAGAGACGGATGTCCCCTGCACAAACAACAACAACTGAATGAACGGCAGAGAAATGTTAAGACGAACGAGTGCAAAGCAAACAAACGCCGAAACACGTGCTTGGCAACCGAACAAACAGATGATCGAAAGAAGAGGCAGACGTTCGCTGCCCAAGCAGCAAAAATCAGTTTAAGCAGCAACGGCAACAACGCCAAAGACAACGTCGATTGGAAAACGACTTAATATTCAACCTACGAATCTCGCGAGAATTTAGAACCATTCAGTTTGTCTATACTGTCAGAAATATCCCAAAATTCGAAAAGGAAGTTTACGTTCTCTCGAATATGCAGAATGTGGCTCTTTCACGTTGTTGTTTTGTGACCCTTTGTAAACAACGGTAAAGAAATGAACAAAAGATTAAAGCACGCTTGCACAGCCATTGCACTCGTTGCCGTTGCCTTCAAATAATGAACAGCCAAACGAGCACAAAACAAACGAAAGCCCGGTCAACCAAAAAGACGGCTGAGAGTGCAGAAAACATCTCTGCTATGAAACGAAATCAAAATATATAAAATGAAGTTCCCGCCATTTCGTCTCGGGTAGTTTCGAGAAAGTCGCTTCGGCTGTCCACGCAGCGCGCGAGTAACATCCTTGGAAGAACTGGGTACTATGTCTAAAAATAACTTAAGAGAGAATACCTTTGGTAGAAGGCCTATATGGGGGATTCACTCTCTTACCTTGATAATCTCCTGCTTTTACTCAAAATCCAGCTGCGATGCAAGGTAAACAGAATCAAATTTTCGATTTCACGATTATTTCGACGATGATTGCATCAAGTTCTGTTTAATTGATGAAAATAGTTCGTTCGGGGGTGGGGCTAAGGGAGGGGGGTGGAGCTGAGGGGAAGATAAACAAGCTGACAAGGTTTAAAGGAAGAATCAAAATTACAAAGCTTTGTTTGATATCAAAAGTTATTTTTGACTTCTTCATCTTTAAAACAAATTATTTTGAGCCCTTTCTACTTCGTCATTTTGCATTTTCAACATTTTGGCTTGTCAAGGGCTTAAAGTGCAGGAGCCGATTTCAGGATTTCTAACTTAAAGAGCTTCCAAGATTTAGTTGCAAAACCTTGTTAGTTTTCCTATGTCAATATTTTGGATTTGGGTCACATGACTTGGAGTNTACCTTTGGTAGAAGGCCTATATGGGGGATTCACTCTCTCACCTTGATAATCTCTTGCTTTTACCCAAAATCCAGCTGCGGTGCAAGGTAAACAGAACTAATTTTCGATTTCACGATCGATTATTTCGATGATGATTGCATCAAGTTCTGTTTAATGAAAATAGTTTTTTCGGGGGGGGGAGCTGAGATGGGGGGGGAATATAGATAAACAAGCTGACAAGGTTTAAAGGAAGAATCAAAATTACAAAGCGTTGTTTGATATCGGAAGTTATTTTTGACGTCTTCATCTTTAAAACAAATTTTGAGCCCTTTCTGCTTTGTCATTTTACATTTTCAACATTTTGGCTTGTCGAGGGCTCTAAGTGCAGGAGCCGATTTCAGGATTTCTAACTTAAAGAGCTTCCAAGATTTAGTTGCAAAACCTTATTAGTTTTCCTAAATATTATGAGGAGACATTTTCGTATATTAAAATTTTGGATTTGGGTCACATGACTTAAGTTTCTATGGCGACCATGTTTTCAAGGGGTATTTAATCGAACATCTTTATAGTGTGAATTTAGATTTTATAGGCATTATATTCCAAATTCCTTACATTTCTATGTTTTGAGCTTC